TATATATTTAATGAATTAATAAATATAAATTATTATATTATTATTTAAATGAATAATAAATTATTATTATTATATTTATATTACTGAATAAATTTTAAATTTAAATAAATATTATTATTAATATATATTTTTATATTTTTATTTATGTCAATATTACTTTATTTCTTTTATATATAATTTTATTTATTACTATATTATATATTTATATATATATTTTCTATATGTTTTTTCTATTTTTTTTATATACTATATATATATTTATATATTAATTTTTTTTCAGAGGACTATAGTTTTTTTTTTCTATTTCAAAGTTACAACAAAGATATATGTGGATACTCCTTCATGGGCCCATATTTTAAATGGCAAATCCATATACAGATTCCACTAAGATGACATAATAAATTGAACGAATATTTTATAGTTAACCACTTAAATAATTTTGATTGTATTACTATTATAGTCAATTTTCTAGTTATTAATAATGTTATTGTTTATATTTCATGTTTTTCATGTTTATTAGTATTTTGTTGTTATTACATATGTTGCTATCATTTATTATGATGGAATAATAGGTAGTAATGAATTAGTGGTAATGATTGGTAGTTGATTTTTGTTATTGTTATTATTTATTCTTATTGTAGTTGTTATAGATTGAATATGGCCATTTTTTTATTTTTCAAAATTATAATTTATGTTTTTATGTGTTTGTTGTTGTAGTTTATTATGTATGCATTGTGTTGTTAGTTGATTGATTGTTGTGGTTGGAGTTGTGATTGAGTGTAGTTGTGGTATGGTATTGGCTAGTTGGTGTGTAGTGTTAGTTGATTTGTTGTTGTTTTTGCGTGTGTTGGTGTGTGTTTTGTTATCTTCTCTCATTATCATGCTATCTAATCTTTATTACCTCCCTCTTCCTCTCCTTCCATGCTCATCATCATCTATCATCATCAGCTATCTATATATCATAATGATTAATAATTTATAACAATGATATGTAGTATATATCTAATTTAATAGTATTATTTGTCTATTTAATGTATTATTTTCATTATGATCTAATTATTTTCATTTATTGTTAATTGGTTCGTCATCATGATATAATTTTTAGAGATCATTATTATTTTTATTATATTATTCTTATTTTATTTATTTTAGTTTATTTATTTCTTTTTGGCTTGTTTATGTTATTTCATCATTCTATATTATTCATTTTTTATTACTTAAGTGTTCATATTCTTATATAATTAGAGTAGATCTAAGTGTGGCTATTCATTCATATTATATTCTTAATTAATTTGAAGTTGATTTTATTATCGTGTCTTCATCTATCAATGTTATTTTAGTTGTTGTATTTTGATATCAATGTTAGTTTGATTTTTTTTTGTTTTAATTATTGATTAAATCATCATTGTTAATGTTACCAATTACCATTTAACTATTGTCCATTATAATTATTTTTTATTACTATTACGATCATAATTATTTTCGTTTTTTCATTATCATCATTATGGTTATTATTATTAAAAATTATCATAATCCTTATTNCGCTTTTTCTTTCTTTCATTTCTTTCTTTATAAATTCGTTTTCTTCTTTGTTATTTATTGTAGTGGCGTTTAGTAAATTTAAGTTGCATGAATATGATTTTCTTTGATGGGTAATTTTTTATTTCGTTTAATTATTATATCAACATAGTACGTTATTAGTGTTTTCAGTTTTCCTATAACCTTAACAGACATCTGTCTGTTTTACTGTCCTGTTCTGTCTGTTTTTATGTCTTGTCGTCTGTCTGATTTGTCTGTCTGTCTGTCTGTCTGTCTGTCCTGTCTGTCTGTCTGTCTCCGTCCCTCCCATCGCCTCTCTCTCTGTAATATTCTTATTCTCTACTCACTTGTCTGGCCTTACTTACCTACCTATCTGTCTGTCTGATATATAGTAATAAATAGATGAGTTACCGAAAGATCACAAGAGAAAATGGAAAAGATCATAAGTTGCATTATGAAGAAAACTTATTTTAAGCGTAAACAAAAGTATCTTTTTTACATTATTGATAATTATAACTTCAAAGAAATTCATATATTAGATGTAGAATCACGCTGAGGGGAATTTTTTTTGCATAAAAAGAGACCTATTGAAAGTTTTTATCACATTCACTATCCTCTCATTCACCTTCTCTTCACTTTCTGCTTTTATTCTCCTCTCTACCTCTCATTTCCTCTCTCTCTCATTCTTCTCTCTCTTTTATATCTTTATCTCTCTGCTCGTCTATCTCTCTCTCATCATCTATCATCTTATCTCATTCATTCTTATTCGTATCTCTCTGCTCTATCTCTGCTTCATTTCTCATCTCATATCTACTATATTCTCTTTATGTCTTCAATATCTCTTCGTCGTCTTTTCTCTCTGTGTGTGTTGGTGGTGTGTGTGTGTGTGTGTGATAGTGTCTGTATGTTATGTCTTGTATATGGTCTGTCTCTTCTTCATCCTATCTATATATTAATATTA